AAGACAAGTCTCTTGGTCTGTCTGGCCTTACAGCTACATACGCATAGTCATTCTTGTGAAGGTTTTGGCGAGGGTTTTGGTTGCTGTACGATTTTTGGAAGCGGCCAAATTGGATGTTACAAGTTCCACTGTTCCACTTTTCGCAACCCGTTAAGGGCCCCACAGAAGACCGACTTGTTCGTCCGATTTGCACAACGTGTAAATCAGTTGGCACGATCGGACAAAGAAATCGGAAGTGCATGGTAAAATCGGGCGTACTTGTACGTCGTGTAAAATATCAACATCCGACTTTTTGCCTTCCGATCGATCAAACACGAGGTACGTGGAGTCTGTCGTACTTGTTCGACATAGGTACCATCCGATTTACACGTCGTGCAAATCGGACGAACAAGTCGGAAGTCTGTGGGGCCCTTAATCACTTTTTGTAATTTGCTCAGTTATAAGAAAGTATATAGTTGTGTATACAAACTGTTGTCAAGGAAACCTCGTATGAAGGTATTTACTACTACCAAATTCAACGTTGCCAAACATATCATTCGAATTGAAATTACAAGCGTTACGAAGGCTACACATGAATAGCAAATGATAGTCGTATGCGAATTTTCATACATCGTTTTAAAACGAATACGAACCAATTCGAGTGAGGTCAAGAATAGCACCCCCCGAATTGGTTCGTATTCGTTTTAAAACGATGTATGAAAATTCGCATACGACTGTCATTCGCTATTCATGTGTACGCTTCGTAACCTTTAAATCACAATTCGAATGATATGTTTGGCAACGTAGAAATTGCTAGTAGTTTCCTTGACAACAGTTTGGTGACACAAATGAACTACTTTCTCATAGCTGCGTATTGCAAAAAGTGCTTAAAATGGTTGCGAACAGCGAACTCTATTATAGAAAAATATAAATATTTTTATATATATATATATATATACTACTATAAACAAGGGTGGTGACTTGCGTAACGCATCATAGAGATTTCAATGTAAAATTCATAACATGCGATTATTGGCTCCCCAAATTATTTTAGAGTAAAAATGTATTAAGGTTTTTTGTAGGAAAAATTTTTTTACGTCAATCAACCCTATTAGTTTTCAATTTTTTGCATAATAAAGACGGAAAATTGGAAAATAAAACCCCCATCTTTTTCAATAATCTGCGATCCCATGGAATTTTCTAAAACAAAAAGATATCCAGTTATCAATTAGCAGCAGTTCGAAATGGCTTTTATGATCGACTTGGTTACTGTATTGCAGTTAATGGTGACTTATTCAGACATTTATTGTAAATTGTTATATTAGGAAACCGTTTTTAGTAATTTGGTCTTTCTTTATGTTGAATTCGCTGTTCTAAATATAATACTTTTTGATAGAATTTGATTTGTTTTATAGCGGACATTCCATGGCATGACGGATATTGGCGTAGTTTTTGTATTATAAAATTCCATGGCATCACAGATTATTGAAAAAGATGGGGGTTTTATTTTCCAATTTTCCGTCTTTATTATGCAAAAAATTAAAAACTAATAGGGTTGATTGACGTAAAAAATTTTTTCCTACAAAAAACCTTAATACATTTTTGCTCTAAAATAATTTGGGGAGCCAATAATCGCATGTTATGAATTTTACATTGAAATCCCTATGATGCGTTACGCAAGTCACCACCCTGTATATAAAAAATATAAAACGAATGATATTTACGAATTCGAAATATTCTCGAACGGTCAAGAATACCATTTGACCAAAGTTCATCGTTTTTGTTGACAAAACGAATGACATTGATAAATACGTAGAGTCAAGAATAGGGTCCCTGGGGTGGCTGTACAGCAGTTGTTAGAACGGTAAGATGTGATGTGGTGTACTTCATATACACCATCTCACGGATGATTACTGACGGAGTGGCACATCGTCACGCGGTTGACATCGCAAATGGTGCCATTTGTTCGGTGGGTTGGTGACGAGGTCCATCGTAGCTCGCCTTTCTTCGACGAACGGCACCCCAGAATTCGCCCGCCGGTGAAGATGAGGCTACAAAACATGCTGGTCTCCAAGAAGATAATGAAGGCATATTCTTGGAGAACGGGATTTGTCGTAACACAGCTAATATTTTTGAGATGAGTAGGCGAATGTCAACGAATGAAAATGTATGAAAAATAATAAAAAGTCATTTCAATTAAAGTTGTAAAGTTTTTTAAGAGTTGGTTGGTTGTTATATTACTACCAGGTTTTCCTTGTGTTTACTAACACTTATACAAAGCAATATTTTCCCGACCAGAATCGAAACGGTGAATTTGATCTTCGGCGGGATAGAACAGGATTGATCTGTCGCCGTTATTGGAGCTGCTGCAATCTGTAATGTAAGATTTGGGTTTACATACCTCCCACCCGGGGAGCACATAATTTATATTACCTTTTGCAGGAAATCATCTAAAAATGAGGTCACACCTTATCTGCTTGTACCAATTGTTTATTATGGTTGTAATTTAACATTTTGCTGACAAATCACTTAGGGTACGTTCATAATGAACGCATAGTGTGACACTCCTGCAAAGTGATTGCAATAATGCGTTCATAAATACACACTAACGGCAGTGTTACATAAGTAATATCATTCATAAATGACACTCTGAGAACACACTGAGTGCTCGAAAATCGCCGGCCTCCAATGGTTGGTAAAAAACACTCCGCATGCGCCGTGGATAATTTCGCGCTAAAATTGACACCTCTCTAATCTAAACCAAAAGAAAACCATTCTTGCAAATTGCAATTGTACTTCTTGTGTAATGGAGGTCACTGAAATAACTCCGGATAAATTTACAATAGTGACTCTTGAAAATGGCGAATTGTTTAAGTCTGACGATGGCCAGATTTGCATATCTTCAAATTCAGGTAGGCAATTATGTTTTTACTTATATTTCGCATTCACTTCTATAGATGGAACATTGTACTTTGTACAACCATCAGAAGCCCTCTTTAAAGCATTTAATATAAGTTCATGTTCTTTGCCAGCTACTATCAATGTTTTACCCGCACCATTCGGTGCATCTACGTTACCAGAAAGAAGGGTATCACTGAGTTAATTGAACTACGAATGCACTTTGATACAAAATTTAAATCAACATCTGTGAAAAACGATCTAGTATGGAAAGAATTATCTGAAAATATGAAACGGAAGAGGTTTAATGTAACCTGTACACAATGTAATGGCAAATGGAGATATTTAAAAGGACGTTATGCTGCAAAGAACGGTAACCAAGGAGCACGGGGTACTGGCGAAGCACCAATCGACTATTGAAATATTTTGAGATAATGGACAAATTTCTGGGAAAAATAGTATATTATATACCGCGGGACTGAAGTAGTACTTTTAATCCCGAAGGTAAAGTTTATATATATATATATAATTTACCTGAGGGATTAAGACCACTACTTCAGTCGCAAGGTATATACGATATTTTTCGTACTTCCGAAACTGAAACACTTAATATGTATGGAGTTTGAGAACGCGTTCTTTCAAAAAATCGCTGCTCAACAAGTTACCATAGGAACTGTCATTGCGAGTGTCATAATTTTGGTGGTGGGTGACAAACGTGTATTTGATATTGGTAAAAAGCAACCAAAGTAGGTAAAGAATTGATACTACCGAAATCCAGAAACTATATGAACAGCAGTACGATGCGTTTAAAAGCCGCTTTACATTAGGCAATTTTAGTGCAATGCAAGGCTTGTGCTATGCAATCTAAAATTGCCTTGCATTGCTTAAACGGTTTTACATTTATGCAATTGTGTTGCAACTTTTGTGCAAGTTCAGAAAAGTGTTGCAGTACTGACAACATATTTTTCAAAATTTGAAACTTTTCAGTTTGTTTACACAGATACCATTAGGTATGAGCAAACAAAAGGAAATTAAGCTGGCTACAGCTTGTTATGTGGTGGCGCTTGCTATTAAAAAAAAAAGAAAAGAAAAAGCGGAAAAAACAAGAAAATGCTGGGTGAAATCATGGATGAATTGTGAGAAAGGGAATATTAATTTAGTTGAAGAACTGGTAGATACTGATATAAAAAGTTTTAAGAACTTTTTACGAACGGACGAGCCAACATTTGAGAAGCTGTTGTCAAAAATACAACACAGAATCGAAAAAAAAGACACATGCTTGCGACAAGCAATACCACCAAGAATGAAACTAATAGTTGTACTTAGATATTTAGCAACTGGAGATAGTTTTCGATCACTAATGTACAATTTTCGGATATCTGAGAGTACTATTTCACTGTTTGTTCCAGTTGTTTGCCAAGCAATTTACGAAGAATTGGCAGTAGAATATTTAAAGGTAAGACAGTTAAATAACATTAATATGATTATAGAACCAAAACATGAATTTTAGGTCCCAAATACAGTGCGTGAATGGTTGAGAATTTCTTCCGAATTTCAAAAATTGTGGAATATGCCAAATGTTATTGGGGCGATGGATGGCAAACATATACAAATACAAGCACAAGGCCAAGACGGTTCAGCTTTTTACAATTCGCTGTTCCGGGAGAACAATGACATAACTGCTAAATTGAGGAAAACGATTTTATTGTGGAATTTGTTTCAAAAACGCATTATCTTGTGTGGGGGAACAATGACGCATCTGTAGTTAACAATTCCAGCCGCTAGATGGCAGTTGTGTCATTGTTGACGTAATCAAAATAGCTGAACCATTCCAGAAGAATATCGGTGTAATAGTTATTTATGTGGAAGTTTCGGCGTCTTGTGGTATTGCTGCGGTGCTATAACGACGTAAGTGTACTTTACATCTAACGTTATTGGTGATTGTGACAAACGCTGAGCGTAAGAACGACGTAACTGTATTTTGTGTCATTATTAACCTAGTGAAGAGTTTACTTTTATGACGTAATTGTTCTTTCTGCCATTGTTGCCACTGAACCTAAGCGAATGCTTACATTTATGTCTTACTTGAATTAGTAATAAATACTCAAAATGAGTAACCGAAGTCATCGGATTATGGAACTTGCATTAAGTTCAATGGAAAATCAAGCGAATTTCAATAACAGTGCACAGAATCCAGACGTTGCAGATCCTGAAGATGAATTGCAAAACATCAATAATGAAATGATTACTCAGAATTCAAGCACGTACGTTGTTCAGAGTACAGGTACTATGAAGATGAATTTTACAAGGGTTCATAAAACATCCTCTAGTCCGAATACTTCAGAAGATGGGGATTTTTCATCTGGTTCTAGTGATAATTATGCACCATCAAGTAGTCGGGAGTCAAGCTGCTCTGAACAATCCTTTGATTCTGAAGCTGAGAATCTAGAACCAGCTCAGAATGGACCTGATTCTCCAGCTAAGAAAGGAAAAAAGAGAATAAGGAATGTTGAAAACTGGATTAAAGTGAAAGCTAAGACATTGAAAAATTCGGGGAAAAAGTATACATCAAGCGCCGGAAAAATGGTTGAAGCGAAAAAAATGAGACCACCATGCTCAGAAAAATGCATACTATCCTGTACGAAAAAAATTGGTGAGGCATTCAGAATTCAATTGTTCACAGAATACTGGGAGTTGGCTTCTCTGCAACGACAGCGCGATTTTTTGAGTTCTTGCATTGAACAGTTAACAGTGAAGTACCGTCGCATATCATCCACAGAAGCCCGCAAACCTAACTGCGCCTTCTATTTGCTGAATAACGGACAGAAAGTCCGTGTTTGCAAAACATTCTTGATAAACACATTAGGAATAGCTGAAAGAACTATTCGAACTGTCATTGCGTCAAAGGCAACTGGTTGTGGAATTGCACCTGCAGATCAAAGAGGGAAACACAGTAAACACAGAAGAATTGATTCAGAAATCTTGAATTCCATCCGAGACCACATAAACTCAATACCGCGAATTGAAAGCCATTATGTTAGAAGCGATACGTCAAGAGAATTTATAGATGGTGGGTTGTCCATTGCCGAAATGCATAGGCATTATTCAGAAGAAAGGGCTTTAGCTAATAAACCCACCACAACTTACGATACATATGCCCGGATATTCAATACAGAATTTAACATTGGATTCTTCGCACCTAAGAAAGATCAATGTGACCTATGTGAATCCTATAAAAATAATCCAAACAATACTGAAGTACAAAAGGCATACGAAGAACATCAAGAAGAAAAAAAACTTAGTCGTAATGAGAAGGACCAGGATAAAAGCAAAGCCAAAAACCAAGACATTGTTTTAGCAGTTTATGACTTGCAGGCGGTACTACCTGTACCAATGGCGCAAACTTCAATTTTTTTTTATAAATCCAGACTTAACTGTTTCAACTTTACGGTAAGGATACGAATAATAATTTTCAGAAAAGTTGGTACCTACCTATCCTCTTTTCTTAGGTAACTGAAATTGGGAATGACAAAACTTTCTGCTTCTTCTGGCATGAAGGGCTCGGGCATAGAGGTGCTGCAGAAATAGGGACTTGCGTTTTACTCTATCTAGAGGAATTGTCCAAAACCAAACCTGGAGCTGATGTCGTGTTTTATTCAGACAACTGTGGTGGTCAGCAAAAAAACAAGTACCTATGTACCAACACAACAACTATTAAAGTATGAAAGAATATTACCTACCTATAATGTTTTCATTTTGTTACAGATTCTTCATTGGAATGTACTTGTATGCAGTTGAAAAGTTCAACATTAATTCAATAACCCATAAATATTTAGTTAGAGGTCATACACAAAATGAGGGGGATGCAGTGCACAGTATCATCGAGAGGTCTGTAAAAAAGGCAAAGAAGTCGGGCCCTATTTATGTGCCAGATCAATACGTCTCAATTATCAGGAACACAAAAAAGAAAGGAAATCCTTTACAAGTTAAGGAGCTGAGTTTTGGAGATTTTTTTGATCTAAAAGCCTTATTTGAAGAAATGGGGATTAATATTTCCAAAAATACTGATAGACAGGATATTAAAATAAACGATGTAAAGGTAATGAAATTTGAAAAAGGAAGTGAAGTATTTCTTTACAAGACTTCCTTTAAACAGTCAGAGTGGCACTCCGTTGCATTCAAACACCAGAAAGCAACTCGTTCTTCTAATGGAAGAGTAATGAAAGAAGTCAATTTAACACGCATCTACACCAACAAAATTCCACTTTCGGAATTGAAAATCGAACATTTTATGTTTCTAATGAATAAAAATCAGATCCCCCAGTTTTATCAACATTTTTATAATTCTCTCTTCTAAAACACAAATTACTGATGTATCAATATACTATGTATTAAATTTAAAGACTGTTGCACATAAATCTATATTGACTTAAATACTTAAACTTATTTCCTGATTTCAGAAGAACATCGACTTAATATCAAATATCTCCATTGGTTTTAAAAATGAGTATTTATATTTATTACCATTTAAAAATATATATTAAGTGCCAATAATTTGCCCAGTGTGTCTGAACTAAATGGTATTGTTCATTTATTATTTCGGTAATAAAATAAATGAAATCTTAATTTAGCACAAATAAGCGAAGTTGTGGTTTTTCAGTTGTGTCATTGTTCTTCCGGAACAGCGAATTATAAAGGCCAGCACAGTATTGTATTGCTCGCAATTGTGGATGCCAATTATAAATTTCTGTACGTTAATGTTGGAATGAATGGTAGAATATCGGATGGAGGAGTATATAGAGAAAGTGATATATATGTAAAGCCATTGAGCAAAATATATTAAATTTTCCAGATGACACTCCACTTCCGAGTCGAACAAAACCAGTACCATTTGTTATTGTGGCTGATGCTGCTTTCCCTTTATCACAACATGTACTAAAACCATATCCCTTCAAAAATATGACTAAAGAGCAACGAGTATTTAATTATAGGTTAAGCAGAGCCCGTCGTGTTGTCGAAAACGCTTTTGGCATACTGGCAAATCGGTTCCGTGTTTTATTACATATAAATCCGCTAGGACCAACAAAAGCAAAAGTTGTGACACAATGTTGTTGTGTTTTACATAATTTTTTAAAAACAGAAGTACCAAGTTATTATATTGGAGACAATACAGAAGCTGAATTGGATCACACCTATACATTGCAATACGGTCTAAGTGCTCAGGGGGGTAATAGAGTTAAAAATGAAATTTTGGCAATACGTGAAGAATTTAAGCAATATGTTAATCAAGAAGGAGCCGTTTCTTGGCAAGAAAGTATGATTTAATTTTAAATATTCAACAAACAAAATGTGAAGCCTGTATAATAAAAATGTTTAATCTTTTTTTATTTTTTTTTTTCCCCATTGTATAAAGCCATCATCATATCCATTTTTATATTGTCCACTATCTCTTCATTCGGGATTTTCTTTAATTCCGCAGCAATATACCTAAAATTACATTCATTAAGGAAATTACTGAATTTTTTACATTGACATACTTCGCAAAAAAATCCAACTCATTTTCTTCAAAATCGGTATTCATATTGGACAATAAATTAGCTGCTTTGGTTAATACCGCATCTGCAGCATCTGTTTCAACATTCTTTTTTTTTTCTTGTTCTTTGAGAAAGGAACTTCATTAACACTTGTGCTGGAGGATGCAACCGGAGACATTGATCGAAGTTCATCTATTGTGCCCTCAAAAATGACTTCTTTGCATTCCTACGACAAAAGGCCACTATTGGTAAGGTAAAATAAAAGCATTATAACTGTACCTCGTCCTCTTCAATGAATACTTCGTGATTCAAGTTCGATTCACCTTCCGTCACAGTGTTGGTGTTATCCATTAAGAAGTACAACAAATCGAAACACCACAGCTTAGGTGTGTATATGTCATCTGTAGAACATCCACTATTCTTTGACTTTTTCACTTTAGTAACCTCTGCCATATATTGGGAACGAATGCCATGAATTTTCTTTTGGACAATTTCTGTCGTCAGTTCACCATTACAAAGTTTAGTGCAAATTTCATTTAAAGCTCTTTGCCTTACATTCTTGTTATGGTAGTCTTTAGATCTAATATTGTACAAACAAGGGTATTGTTCATAAAGAAGGATCAGCTCAGTGGTAACCGCAGTATTCCATGGGCTTTTTTTGCTAAAAATATAAATAACATTATGAGAAAGCACCATCAAATAGATATAAATACACATACCTGTTGTTATTAGCCATTGTAACAAAATTACAAGTTACATTTGTTACTTAACGAATAAATAAAGTTTTTAGGTTATTAAAAATAACACACGCGAAACCAAATAAATTGTGGTATTGACAAAATTACTAGAAAAGTTACTAGAACTTGCGCCAAACTTGCAAGTGAAATAGAACTTTCTCTATTTATTTTTCTTGCACCTGAATTGCGTATGAACATGCGCAGTAACGTATCTCTTAACTTCCATTGCTCTTGCATTGCACGAAAATTGCCTAATGTAAAGCGGCTTTAAGAAGTAGTGCCGCATACAAAATGTGGAAGAACCTACTGAAATAGCTTTATTAGTAATTTCATCCTTCCGGGATTTCCGTAAAATTTAATCCCGGCGGGACAAAAAGTGATACTTCAGTACTTGTCATAATGGAGTGAAGTTGTCACTTTAGTCTCGTAAGTACGAAAAATATAATATACAACCACACGCAGAAAAAGGTTTCTTTACAATAAATAAATAAATTTTTTCAAAATATATTTTGTTCATTCAAATAAATATCTTTAAGACTAATACGAGGTTCTTCCCTTTAAAGTAATCGTATATTACATTTTAAATCAAGATTTATTTAAGAGCTTTATTTGATGCAAATAATATTTATTCGACTTGAAGGCATAGATAATTCATTTATTTCTACGAAATAAGCAGGAATTTTCTTAGAAATACATACGATGTTTTTTACCTAAACAATTCCCTTATTTGTTGGTAAGAATTCGTTGCTTGCAGTTTATTAATTTAGAATGCGTTTCTTGTAATCAAAGGATTCATTGTTTGAGTTAAAAATTGAATACTTATTCCGCATTTCGTCTTCGTGTTTTACTCCTTGGGCATTGTACCTAAGCGGCTGGAGTATATTCATTGAAACAATTTCAGTGTATAAGTGCATTGTACTTTTTATAAGTAAAGGTGAATAATGAATGTGAACGAATTGTTAATCTCTTGGGGTTTTGAAAACTTTATTATTTCAAGACCTTTTACCCCAACATGCTCGAAATGAATGTTGCGTTATTAATTGGATTGAACAGCAGGGGATTATTTACAAACCAAATCATGTAATCCACTTAATATCAAATGAAGACTGTGTTTTTTATAAGTGTTAGCTCAATTATAAATTTAATTTCAAGATGGCTTTATTATGTATAAAAAACTAAACTGGCGTACAACTTTATTAAAACTATTAAATATAACTATTATCGCAAATGCTACCTATACAACTGATTTCTACGGCGGCCTCAGAGGATCTGTCCCTTTTCGGCAATTTCCGAACACATATGGTCAAGTTTACCCTCTGCGGCCAATACAAAGAAATGCAACGCTACAAATCACATATTACTTAATTTACGCCCAACTACTTTGATGGGATTTCGCCGCTGTCCCACAAAGCAGCTGGTCGAACTTAAAATTATAACAATTCGGCCTTTCCTGACCTGTTCTCGCCCCGAGAATGACAGGAGAGGTCACACAAAAAACAATACTTAATATTCATATACATTGGATAATTAATTATTTCACTTACATACCTATACAATACAATCACTTACCACTAACCTATCAACTACCCAACTAACTAACTTCATTCTCCATCTCATCGTTGACACGTCTTACCTCAGCCGCTAAAGGATCATTTACAAATCCATCTCGTTCATAGGTGCGAATTATGCTAAAAGGTGTTGTTTTAGTTACCTTATGAACCGCATTGTTTATGGCCCATTGTACCTCGCAAACCTTCGAGTCCCAATCACTCCCCTCTAGTTTATTTGAACTGGCCGCTACACAACTTAAGATTACATTATTTACCTTCTCAACCTGTCCATTTGCTCTACACAGAGAAAAAGGTTTATTTACACGAAACAAAAATTATTTGTCATAAACAAATTTGTTGTTTGTATATGGCGAAGCAAATATTTATTTCACTGATCTAAATAGTTTGTTTGATTTCTTCAATAAAATATTATGTTCAATTAATGCTATAAAGATACACGATGTAAATAATTTGGTCTTCGAATAAACTATGCATTTTTTCAACGTAACTTGGTCATCTCTTTGGCGTAAAACCGATATATTTTAATTGAATGCAATTAATGTATTGAATGTAACAAAATATTATTTGAATCGAGACTTAAAACACTTTGTTTCAAATAAAGAGGAGTTTTGTTCAAAAAAATGATTTATTTATTGCAAAGAACCTATTATTCAGCCTATGGGTCAATTTATTTAGCACAAACTTTAAACTTGTTTCAACCAAAGTAATTTTTGTTTATATTAAAAGATATTTATTACTTTTCGTAATAAAATTTATTTCAATAGAAAAAACGTTTATTCTAAGCAAATATATATTTATTTAATGTAATACTACTTATTTCAGTGCTAGGTGGAAACTATACATAATATACAATATTATATAATATATAAAACAAAAATTAAAAACTTAATAACACATTCTTTGGCAATAAAAATAGTATTGTCGTATATAGAAAAAAAATAAAACATGATCCTTATTGAAGGGCACATATGACTTTAGTTCCGTTTGCCATAGTATGAATGTTATGACATAAGTGGTTTGGAAGGCGGTCTATGGGCATAACGATCAAATTTATTGAATCATGCGTTGACATAGAATCTAACACTTCGTATCCACCGATATGAGTATTTAGACCGATTAAATGAAGTGGCTGAATTATTAAAAAAAATATATTTTGCATTTTGTTTCCAAGTATGTATTTTATTGTGCCAAACTGTGGTAGATCCGAGGGTAGATCAGTTTCTTCGTCATTATTAATTTGAGAAGCATACCCTAATTTATATTCAAAACTATTTACTTTTAGCCAAGACGTATGAAACAGATTATCAATTTCTATTTGATTCTTTTCGAGTAATTGTTTCAAAATAAAAAAATCTTTTAATGATGCAAGATCCTCAAAATTTCCACAAGTAATGTTGTCATTAAACCCTTGTCTACTTAAAAATCTATATGAAAGTCTGAGCTGCTGTTTAGTAGCTAATGTAAGAAGAATATTTTTTCTGGAAGTTACAGAATTTGCAGTAGATTTTAAAACTTTGTGAAATGCTTCATATCTCATTGACCAAATATGTCTCAAAGGTCCTAAATTCAAAATAACTGTAGGATAATGGATCATGAAATGGTGTTTTGGTTTTAATGTCTGATCAAATAACTCGCAATATAATCTGTGGTGTTCTACAATTAAAATTTCAAGATACTCTATTGTCTGTTTTGAAATGATTCGACTGAGTAAAATATCTATTATTTGATACAGTATAGTATACAATTCCCAGCAACTGTCCTTTTCTGGAACTAAGTCAGCAATAAGTATGCCGAAATATGAAAAAAACCCTAACATTTGCGAAGCACTCATTATAAGGTACTTTTTTTTTAATATGTTCAGGTTTAATTTCAACCAATGGATTTCCTATATCGACTGCAGCAAAATTAAAATAACAAATTCGATTATTTAAATTATCTAAAGTGAAATATTTTTTTGTCAGTAAGTGGTCAATCAAATAAGCCATTTCATATCGTAGGATACCTTCCAAAATATCGTGCATGATATCGCATGATGTATTCCTAGCTACTGAAAAATTTGGTAATTGATTAAAGATACAGGGTTCTTTTATGCCAGCTGAAAGAGTTTCAACATCTTGGAGATAATTTTCTTCTGTACGAATTTGGGAAGGGTCCTCCACATACAGGGTTCTTTTATGCCAGCTGAAAGAGTTTCAACATCTTGGAGATAATTTTCTTCTGTACGAATTTGGGAAGGGTCCTCCACAAATTGAGTTTTGCTTTCAGCTTTGGTACTTTTGCATATACGACAAAAATTATTTGCCTGAAAACTCTCAGTAAACCCTAAAATTGAATTAAGTCCTAAATTATCACCAAGAACGGTTACAACAGTGAAATACACATTAATTTTTTTGGCATTAAAGTTTATGGTTATGCCTTGGGTTTCAAGAAATATCAACTCGTCCATTAGTTTCGAAAATATCTTTTTATTACCAAAAGCAGTTCGATCTGAAGAGTAAAATAAGCAACATACCAAAATATTTTCCAATAATGTAGCAAGCTCGGGAGGAATACAAGCCAAGGACACATAGGTTGCTCCAATTTTGTATACACCGGCTTTGCTTCCCAGAGGGTTGCAACATTCAAAGTCGTCGAAATAAATTAGTAGTGGTAGTATAATTTTATCATTTGGATACTTTTGCACTAAATTCCTCCATATTTGGCCTTGAAACACACTTGATAGTAAATGCGGTGGAAGTGACATTTCTTTTTGCATGTAGGACATTATAGTTTGAAAAATATTTGGTAATTCTAAAAACAACTTAAAAATTTTCCTTAAAGGAATAATTTGACCTTCTATTTTTTTAAATGTCATTGCAGTGGAATTAGAAATGTCATTTCTTGATCTTAATTTTTGCAATGACGGCTGCTCTCCAATTATAAAAGTTTCTGGTTTTATATAAGTATTCAAATTTGTGAAGTACTTAAATCGTAGGTACTCACTACCAAGTTCTTCAAGAACATTTAATAAATCCGAAAAAACGTTTGAAATTGCCAAAACATGTTGAGATGTTAATTCTAATTGTTCCATTATAGACTTTAAATATGTAGACAGACTTCTCATCATTTCTGTAACACTCTCAACTACAAGTTGAACAATACTCCTTGGTAATGAAGACATACTGTACAGGCGTCCTATTAAAGCAACAATTTCATTTATGAGAGGATTATCCGAGAGAGTGTCGGAATTAAATTTATCATCATCATTGGCTGTGCGCTGCTGTCCATTTACTGTCATCAACACGTTGATATTCCCCGTTCCGACTGCATACAACAAAGTGTCTGATGCTGCCGTTCCAACCATTCGAGGTGTCTGAAATGCTTCGTACGACGCAAAGTAGTGTTTGCTGCCCGTCATGTGATCGCTTGCGCCTGAATCACACACCCAGCCGTCAGCGTTGCCTTTCACTAACATGTTTGCAATGAATGCACCACTACTTGCTAGTTCAGTGCTCAGGTTCGTTTTCCCTTTGTCCGAAGTTTTATTTCTACATTGTTTTGCCAAATGTCCCATCTTGTTACATTTGTAGCACTTGTAGCTTGAATAGCGATTTTTCTTACCGTTACCAGACGACTTCTCATTTTCTTTGTCGCTGCTCTTACTAGAGCCGTCGAGCGATTTTCCTTTATGGCGGAACTGCTTGTGTGTGAGGAAAGCTGCCGAAGAGCCAGCTAATCCACCAGCTTCCAATTCTTGTTCTTTTGAACACAACAATTCTGAAAGAGCTACGAGCGTTTGCTCTTTCCGCGGCCTAGTCTTCCATATGTCTTTGAGTACCGAATATTCATCGCTTATGGAACATAAAATGCGGTAGTGCAGTATTGATTCCGGAATCTGTTGTTTAACTGCCTGACTAACATTCCCTCCAGCAGCGGTTGCGTCCTCTGTCGCCTGACGATTAAACTCGTGGTTGAGATCGAAAAAATCCTTTTTCATCGATGCGATATACGCTGCCATTGATTGTTCAGGTCTTTTCACCGCCGTCATAAATCGAGTTAGTATCGTGTGAACCCGCTGAGTATCTCCGTGCTCAAATGTGTTAGTTAAGGTTGCCCACATTACCACAGACGATCTTGTTGTAAGCACCAGCTGTGCCACATCACTCGTTAACGTACCCGCTATTGTAGTAGCTGCTACAAGATCATCTCCTCGCCATTTTCTCTCGGCTGCCAACTCAGTTTCTGTAGGCTTCTCCGGATCTTTTGGTAGAGGCAGAACTCGCTTGCCTTCGACGATGTCCAGAACACATTTCGCTTGTAGGACCATTTCAACATGCCATCGCCAAGTGGGCCAATTTTCTGCTCCCCTTAATTTCTCTATGTTATATTTTTCGTCGCCTTTAGCTGTTGCCATTTTGTTTGTGCGCCCCTGTATATAGTAGTTCAAATGTCCAGCTATGCGTAATGGAGCCACGTCCAATTAATGACAGCTGACACAAACAAAAAGAAAAAAACCGCGCTAGCCAATAATTGACGATAAAATATACTTAACGTTTCTTTCTATGCAGATCAATCGCCTTTGATACACGTAATCACGTACACATTAGGTACACGCCCGAACAGAATACAGTTACACACTATATTTTGATTCTCATCGATTGTTCTAGTCGCATGCTGAACCCATAACCTGATGAGTTTATTACGTTCACCCGGTAATAAATAAGCAAAAACCCGCGAACTGTAAACTGTTGCTTTATTTAAGGATAAAATAATAGAAAGAAACAAAACTAAACTACATGTCATACCTCTGCTTGACATACATGAACTTAGGTTCACTTGCTTGATTTTAACATTTAACCTACAGAGCACGTCAAAGTTTTTAGTACTTCAACATCAACTACAAGTTGAACAATACTCCTTGGTAATGAAGACATACTGTACAGGCGTCCTATTAAAGCAACAATTTCATTTATGAGAGGATTATCCGAGAGAGTGTCGGAATTAAATTTATCATCATCATTGCAATGTGCAACGGGTGCTTCAGATTGAGAATCGGGATTTGTGCCGGAACTCTGTGGAAGATTAAGTAGTTGTAATGGAATTGCACCTCTAGTCTCATTAGTAATCGGATGAAAATGTGTATTGTTTATATGTTTGCGGAAGCTTGCAAGACTACAAAACTCCCTACCACAGTTTGCTTGCACACATTTAAAGTTATTTAACAAGGAGTGTATAATTTTTAAGTGATTCAATAAATTCTCAGGGGACGAACATGTTTTTTTACATTGGAAACAAACAAATGTTGCTTTAAGTTCAGCCATTTCACTGTAAAAGGTCTTGAATGAAGGGAATTTTTATGTCGCTTGCAGTTTTTATTCTGTAAGAACAAAATTGTAATAAATACCATATATGTTGGCATTCAAAAGGATATTTGACATCCAAGACATGAAATGACTTAAAGCAAACATCTATTGCTTCATTAACAGATAATGTTTTATACATAAAATTATTAATAACAACATACGAAGAAGTGATATTGGTTAATGCAGGACCTACTAGTAAAATATACGGGTGCACAGTAAGACCCATTGCATACATTGCGTCAATTTTCGTCGACTTGCACCTCTCAATATCGCCAGGAGTGTACGCATGTATAAAAAGTCCATTTTTACATTCTGCAGTAGATGGCTTCCAATGGCCTTTGCCTTTCACCCTCGTCCTTCCTTTAGGAGGTACTAACAGTGGCAACAAAGACAACTTCACTGCATTCTGGGAGTCTGCAAATACAATTTCAAATTAGAATCCACGTAGTACGAATGTGAATCGCTTTTTGAGCAGAGATGAGGCAAGTCTCGTCTTATACAATTCATGTATATATGCAATAGTTTACCTGTAGTTAAATTCTCGCCATTCAGCAAATCCAGTAAAGCTGTATCCGAAGCAGAAAAATGCTTTCGCCTTTTTTCTAAAATGTTTTCAAAAAATTCATCGAAATTCAGTTGCGTGTACGAATCTATAATACTATCGAAATCTCTTAGAATCTGTGAAAAATACATTAATTATAAAGTTGTATAAAGCAAATTAGGGTTTAGTATTACCAGTTCTACTGCAATTTGGTTTTTAAGTATTGGCCACTGGTCAAAAAATTGAGTAACAGATTGGTCACTGTGATCCTTTCGTCGAAGTTGAAAGGACTTCTCCCAGTGCTGTATCACTTCATGTAAAGGCTCTGAGTTTAGTTGCAGCCAAATTTTACTGTCCTTTTGACCTTCCGAAATTTCTGAAAAGGTACAAATGAGAAAGAAATTGTTAAAATATATTATGACTGGCTTACCAATACTTTGCTGATTAACACCTGTTTGTGGGGGATGCAGTTCAGTAAACTCTTGGGCACGCCTTAACGCCGTTAATTTATTTCTGTGTTTATCAACCAATTTTCCTCGTGCTACAATTGGCTTATTCAAAGAGGAATGTTTTTTGGGGATTGGGTCTACATAATATGTGGCCTTCTTCTCAGTCGAAAACAATTCTACTATTTTGTCCGCAATAAACGAAAGGGATTCGTTATTCAGTCTTTTCCCCTTATTTAAAAAATGCGTTATTATAATTTCACAAATTACATTTCTGTCTTTATTAGAGAATGTGTGAAGATGTTCAAATTTTTTTAGAAGCGTTTGCCCAATAGCGTCATTTTGTAAAATATCTTTGAGGACAAAGGTGCAGTCGTCCACGGAAATCGTGGAAATAAAAGAGGAATTAAGGCCGCAATCTTCGTTAGAAAGGTTTGTAATCGTGCTAGCAGAAGCCGTGGATGGTGGGTTTACCACCCAAAATACTTCAGGCGTGCCAATATTTTCCGACTGAGGAATATTTTCTTGTTCAGTAGAATGGAACCTTTTTGGTGACACGGATGGTGAATGTTCTATCTCTTCATCGGCAACTCTTTTCTAAAATAAGATGAAATCTTAAAGTCTAATAATAAAAATTAAAATACTTAGTTACATTATTTTCGTTGACAGAAGGGCTCTGTAATTGCAAAAGACCTTTTCGAAAACGAATTTGGTCCCCGATGCGTGGGATAAGGCTGCCGATCTGCACATCAGTAAGAAGTGGCAAAAATTCAATTTCGGTAACGTTCTGTTCTACAAAAAATGAACTAATAAACATATTACTCAAATACAGCATGGGGGGGGGGGGGAGGTTGATAATTGACTAACTATCACAACGTCGATATAATAGCCTTGAAACGAACTTTGATGTAAGGAGAAAAAGTTACAGCTGATTCAAGTCATTTGAAACATTATAGGTACCTATTGCAGGCAAAATTGTTTCAAGTACAATTTCTCAAATTACTTCCAACAGTACCTGAATATACATATCTATAATTTATTACATTGGTTAGAGATCTTCACCAAAGAGCGATGACTGAAGATAAAGTAATATAAAATAAATAGCATTGGCTTTTCACGGTTTGCATTGTATGCATATCTATTTAAGGCTACATATAAGTAAGTTGGAATAGTATTGTTAAAAAAATGTTTCTTACCTGTAAAAGATGGTAATAGATGGTGTAAATTGTTTTTCACTAAAAACTCCTCCATTTATATATAGGTACTTAAAACTTCAAACAAAAACCACAGCTTAAAAACCTCAAGATGTTACCATACGAAGACGCAACGAAATAATGGCGCATGACTCAATCGTTATGATGCATTTGCGAAATAAAGTACCTACCTACTTGTAACAAAACAATTATTTGTTGAATCAAACAAATATTCCTTTGAATTAAACCATAACGCAATTTTCGTTCCTCGAAACAAATGTTTCTTTCCTAAAAGATTTTATAATATCGATCCAGCTCATTAACAAACAATTTATTTCTTATAAACAACGTTATGTTTAAACTTCGCAAGTGTGAGTTAGTATTGTTAAACAAATTCTGAAATCCATTCAAACAATATGATTTTCTTATTTCAAAAGGCAAATGGTTGGGCAAAATAAATGTTTCTTGATTCAAGTAAATGTCGATCAAATAAACGTTTATTTGATTTTTCAATGGGCAGTTTTTTCTGTGTAGGTACCGAAGTCGATACCTTCACGTGTTCAATATTATATAACGCGCAGAAATCCTCAAATTTCTTGGCAGTCAATGCCGTGCCGCGATCACTAATAATTCTATCCGGCCTCCCATAGTGCGTAATGATTAATGAATTCCCTTATGCCCTTTATGGTAGCCGCCGTACCCACATCTGGCACAGCGCTAATGACCGTATATTTACTATACCCGTCTACCACAGCCAAAACGTATTTATTTCCCTCTTTTGTAGTAATAAACGGACCTAAATGATCAATATGCACAACCTGAAATTATGTTGAAATCTACGAGGCGAATGCTGGAGCAGTACTCTCCCCCTCAGGACCCTAACTCCGTTCCTTCCGTTCCCATCCCTAACTTTACCCATCCTTACAATCCCGTTCTCTGGCTGAAGAGGGCCAGGAAGCCCTGAGCAGCCCGCCTCCGGTATCCCTGTAGTCAGGGGTGCCGGAGGAATGAAACACGTTGGCCTTTTCCTTTTTTTACAACCTGAAAAGGAGCATTACCCTTATCAAGTGGGTGCAAGAATCCCGGCTGTTTTCCCCTAGGCGTCTTATAATATAGACAGTTAATACACCTGTTCACGTAACTCGTCACAAAATTCCGCAAGTTGGGGAAGTAATAGTTACGCTTCACTTTCGCTAGTGTCTTGTCAATCCCTAAATGTGACAGAGACCTATGTGCATTACTGACGATGTCATATCTCAAGTCCACTGGTACATACAGCCTCCAGGTACCGCACTTGGCGATTTTGTATAATCGGCCCTTATGTAGGGTAAATTTTGCGCGCACCGCGTCGTCGCCCTCCTCGAATTTGCCAACGATACCCTTCACCTCGGGACATGCCCTCTGTAACGCCGCCACCCAATCCGTGTTAATTTTAATTCCCAAAATCGGCAACCCTTCAATTTCCACGTCTCTCGCCTGCTCGACGGGATTCCTACTTAACGCATCTGCTACTTGATTATGTGAACCCTTGTGGTACTCGATCGTATAATCAAATTCCGATAATTTGACAAACCATCGCCCAATTCGCGGATTCAAATCCCTCTTATGCGCTAGCAACTTTAAACTATTGCAATCCGTTTTAATCACCCAGTATTTTTCTAACGCCGCAACTATCGTAGGAATGGTATTTTGCTTCCTCTGGGGTGGTCTTACGGCTGTAAAAAGATACCGCTCTCGAGGACCCATCGTCCTGCTTTTGCATTAATACCGCACCCAGACCCTTAGAGCATGCATCTGTCTGCAATTCGGTATAAGCCGAAGGATTATACACGCTCAACACCGGCCGGCCCATTAATTTTTCTTTCACGCCCTCAAATGCGGACCTCTGCTCGTCGCCCCATCGAAACGAAACTCCCTTACGCAACAAATCACTAATCGGCCTACATATTGTCGCGAATCCTTTTATAAATCGTCGAAAATATGACGCTAGCCCAAGAAACGATCTAACCCCGTGAACGTCGGTAGGTACCGGAAATTCAGCCAAAGCCCTTAACTTTCCCTCACCTGGTGCAATACCTTCGACTGAAACGTTAAATCCCAGGTACTCGATGCGTTCCTTGAAAAAGTGACATTTACTCAACTTCAGCGTAAGATTCGCCGATCTGAACCTCTCAAATAGCTCACGCAATTTATCTAAACCCCCCTCAACTGTATCGCTAGGTACTACAATATCATCTAAGTAGGCTAACGCTGTATCGTAACGCAAATTATTTAAAACTAAATTAATAAGTCTTTGAAACACGCTTGGCGCATTACACAAACTTTCAAAGCTCATACGTTTGAAACAATAAACCCCATCGCAAGTAACGAACGCGGTTTTACCTTTTGAATCCTTCGACATTGGTACCTGATAATAGCCGCAGCTTAAATCCAAGGTGCTGTAGTAGCGTTTCCCTCGAAGACGGTCCAATTGATCATCGATGTTGGGGAGTGGAAAATGCTGCTTCACCGTCACTTTATTTAAGGAGCGATAGTATATGCACATACGCACTTCACCACACTTTTTACGCACCAACAACACCGGACTCGCGAATGGCGAATCACAATCTTCCACAATGTCCGCAGCCTTTAATTCCTCCATGATATTTGTCACCTGTTCGCGTTCCTTGTACGACATTCTGTATGGTCGATACACAATCGGCTTGTCCTCAGTCAGTTGGATATCCATCTCCATTAGATTTGTGCAGCCCACTTGCGTCATCTTCCGCGCCACGATATCCTTATATTCGTTTAATAGGCTGATCACCTTATCCGCTTCAACCCCTTGCAAATCGGTGTCTACCTCGTGGTCCTCAATTTCTTCGGTATTTACTTCCCGACGACGACTAATTTCTCCACAAATTTCTGCACGCGTCACGTTGCTGTCCTTTCGCATTTCGACGTTCGCGCCGCTAATGTTCAATACTGGCAGAACTGCCTCACCACTTGAGTCTGTTTTAATTATCACTCTTGGGATAAAACCACCAATTTCCCGCATTCCACCTTCAACGTACAAGTCCGTATTTACAACATTTGTTCTCACGGCAATATGTATTCTGTATCTTGGTAATTAATACTTGCCAACTAGTCCAGTCGGCAGGTAGTTTTAAATAGAAAAAGGTCGGAAGTTGATGAAACTTTGGGATGTTGTTCGGGGATGATTAATCAACATTTTCCCAAGTTTTGGACCTCGTGGACCCTGTGCAAAAAGAGGGGAGGGTGAACGATTTGGGGATAGACACCGCTGAGACCAAATCCGTGTATTTTGTTAAATTTGATTAAAAGACAATCTCAGTTTTAAAGGCGCGTATCCACTGGCATTACATTTGTAGCAACATTTGTAAACGTTTGCGAATATTGTTAAACAGCCTTGCAAAACGAAGTACCCACCGATCAGAACATGTTGTTTGAAATTGTTCACAAAGCAGTTTTGAAAGCGTTTGTCGCGTATCCAGGTTTTTTTATTTTGAGGAAAACCGAGAATAGAAAAATTGTAAAAATGTCCCCGTTAAGTAGACAGAAACTTGCCGCCTGTGCTGCATTAGTATTTTGTGCACTAATAGAAAAAGAAAAGAAGAAAAAAAGAAGGAAACATAGATTTTGGGTGTCTCATTTTTTAAAAACTAGAGTTTCTGTGCAGCTGATTTCTGATATCAAAAGTGACAGGAGTAGCTTATTCAAAAATTTTACTCGAGTTTCGCCAAGAGATTTTGATTTTCTGCTCTCAAGAATTTCTCCAGAAATATCTAAAATTGACACGAACTACCGAGAGTGCGTCTCTGCCGAAATTAGACTGGCCATCACACTTCGCTTTCTAGCGACAGGAGATTCCTATGTCAGTCTTATGTACCTCTTCAGAGTTTCGAAGCAGCTCATTTCTAGAATAATTCCTGAAGTATGTGCCGCCATCATGAAAGCATTAGCGAGCTATGTAAGGGTAAGTAAATAACCATATAATAAATTTGACCTTTATTGAGAAAACTAGTTACTGTTGAAATGACATTTTTGACATACGTCCAGTGCGGTTTTACTCAGCGTATAGATCATACCTATCTATGCGATGATATAACTGGTATTTTATTTTTATAAGTAATTAGTATTTGTCTGTGATTGAGATGGATTGAAGTTTGCTAAATAGTTTCCTGCATTCATGGATGCAGATTCTAGGTCAGGATTTTCATCTGGAAAGTTTGTTTCCCAATGGTCATTTTCTTGTGGCTGCTGACAACTGGTGGTATATGTTGCGTTGCTACTTGCATTTCGATGGGCTTCGAGCTGTTGAAGGATTCCTGAAGTTGGCAGAACATTAGTGAGTAAAGTTAAGTTTCGTTGTGGTTGCTGCGAGGGTTGCTGATAGCTGGCGAACGATGCGCTAGTGTTAGCACTTGTATTTTCATGGGTACGGAACTGTGAAGCATGATCGGAATAATGAGAGCTTGAACCAGCAGGTGAAGGAGCAGGGGTAGTTAGTGCATGTGCTAGCAGAAGTAACGCTTCCAGAAGATGACAGATGACCAGAGGTGTTCTTAGGCACCACATCGTCGTAACGTCCCATATCAGCATTAAAGAGGATATTACTAAACATGTGCTGTACCATGGCCTGTGTTCTTTGACTGTAAGTACGTAGCTTTGATGCGATATGCTCCCCATAAATATCACAAGAATCCCGGTCTTGAGCTGACCGCATAATATCGACTACTGCAGAAATACGAGGATCCTCGTTTGGGACGTTTGAATTTTCCTTATTCCGTTTCGCTCGTTTTGCTTTTTGCAATTGTGAATTTGGTAATTCATTTGTAGACGTTGCAGAAGTAGATGGTAATGGTTCCTCTTCTAAGGCTTTTTTTGGATTAAGTTCTGGTTCTGTTCTTTCTCCAATTGGTTCACTGTTTTCATTGTATACTTCTTCGGCAACTACTTCATTATCATCAATAACCTGAAAAAAAAATGCAAAAATAAAAAATGTTTAATAACAAAAATAATTAAAATATGCATATTCTAAATTAACGTTGAGGTGAAACAAACGCATACAAATAAAAAACAATTCTTTCTTTGCAGATGCCAGAAACCGAAGCGGAATGGTTGCAGACATGTGAAGAATTTGAAACGTTATGGAATTTTCCACAATGCATTGGCTCGATTGATGGGAAGCATGTAGTTTTACAGTGCCCTAAAAAAACCGGAAGTGACTTTTTTAATTATAAGTCGTTTTTCAGCATCGTTCTCTTTGCCCTAGTTGATGCTAATTATAATTTTCTATTTGTTGATGTTGGTGTTGGTGTTCAAGGAAGAATCTCAGACGGAGGAATTTTTAAAAACACAGAGTTGTATGAACGTCTTCAAAATAATGCTTTAAATTTGCCATTACCAAAACCGTTGCCTGGTCGCGAGAAAGCTATTCCCTACGTAATTTTAGGAGACGAAGCGTTTGCCCTGGCTGATAATTTAATGAAACCTTATTCAGGAATTTATGAAAAAGGTTCAATACAAAGAATTTTCAATTACAGGTTGAGTCGAGCACGCCGAGTAGTGGAAAATGCTTTTGGTATCCTAGCATCTGTCTTTAGAGTTTTAAGAAAACCAATGCTTCTAGAGCCACATAAAGCAGAATTAGTTGTGATGACTTGTATATATTTGCACAACTTCTTACGCAAAAGTAAGTCTTCAGCAAATATTTATTGTGCACAAGGAGCCCTGGATAGTGAAGTAGAAGGGAAAGTTATTCCTGGTGCTTGGAGAAATGATACTGAAATGTTGTCCCTGATTAATATTAAAAAAGTTCCTCGAAAGTCTGCAAAAATTCCTCAGGAAATTCGTGAAGAATTTGCAGCATATTTTTCCAGCAATGGAGCTATTCCATGGCAAAATGAACATGCTTAGCTAAACGTACAGTGTTAGTGTTTTTGTAAAGAATGAGTTTTCGCTTGTAAAATTAGAGTAAAATAAAAAATATTTCTCACCTCTGAATCTTCTATTTGGGAATGAATCATCTTTTTTGTACTGCTGACAGATTTCCTGCATTTATTCTTATCCATAAGAAATCCAAATGCCTCATAGGCAAACCAGTGGCTTGTGTATACCTCCTCCCGCCCTGCAAATTTTCAGTTTTATTGTTGGCCATCCTTATTAATAGTAAGCCTGGATCCACATGGGTACGTGATCACGGTTTTAAAAACACAAAAAACTGCACTCTAAAGCGATAATGCTGGAAGCTCCTCCAACTTTCATGTCAAAAAATATAACAAGAAAAACAGGTTCACTAAATATACAGACCTTTTCCTGTTCCCAAACTTTGAGTTTCTTTGTTTCTTTCTCTTCTAAATGAAGTTGTCAACGAGTTTATTTTAGCCTTTACAATATCGATGGTTGCATTCATATTTTTGGCTATATCGGCCCAGGCGTCATGTTTCTTAATTTTATTATAATAAAAACCATGTCTGGCATTCCATAGTTCCGGTTTTTGTCTATATAAATTTATTAAGTAAATACACTGCTCGTGGTCCCATTCCGTAGTAATATCCATCGTAAATAAACAAATTAAATAAAAAAATAATGATTATTGTTCGAGTTATTGATCAATCACTTCAACCACAACTTTTAAACACTAAATACAAGTAAACAAACACTTATCGGATCTATTTATCTACAAACGTAGAATATCGCGTCTCCACTGAAATCAGGCAGAAATCCACAAACAAGTCAAATCCTTTGAAGTTACCGACTTTTCGCGGAACAGTGACAAACGCCTGCAAACGTTTGCAAATGTAAGTGACCGACGTATCCACCGGATAAACATCGTGTTTGTAAACGATTGCAAATGTTTCTAAACGTTCCGTTTGTCAGGTGGATACGCGCCTTAATGAACTCTATTAATGTGACAAATGACATCTAAAATTCTAAGTTTACTTGACATAGGCCACCAATTTTACGATAAGTTTGAAGCGACGTAAAATTCCATAAGCAAATCCTTCAATTTAACATATAACATAGTCTTAAAATGATAATTTGTACCAATAAACAAATTAAAAAAAAAATATAAGAAATTAATGCAAATGAACGTAAACAATATGATATTCACAACAGCGTAGAATTTCTGTTGAAACTACGAAATTATTGATTATTTTTCAGTAGACGGTAAGTGATAATCCTGTTCCAGTGGAAGCTTACAAAGGCGATGTACTGCTCGAGTGATAACATGATCGTTGCATTTTAGTTCAACTTGGCGAAGTCTTCCTGACTTGTCTGGAAATGCTCTTAAGATTTTACCCATTCACCATTGCAGTGGTGGTTGATTGTCATCCTTGACAAGTACAAGGTCGCCAGTTTTCAAATTCTCTTTAGGCTGTTTCCATTTAGTTCGTACTTGCAGATCTCCAAAGACGATATTACGATAAATGTTCCAAAAATTCTGGAACATGCTTTGGACTAGTTGAAACCGTTTAAGTCGGTTACATGGAACGGTAGTGTAATCTGGTTCAGGGATAGCGACCATGGAATCCCCTGTGATGAAATGTCCCGAAGTCAATATTTGCATGTCATCAGGGTCATCTGTGAGTTTACAAAGTGGACGAGAATTAAGGCATGCTTCGATCTGCTTGATAAGTGTATAAAATTCTTCGAAGTTTAATTTTGAATTTCCAATTATACGTTTCATATGATATTTAACGGCCTTTACGTTAGATTCCCATAATCCTCTCATATGTGGTGAATTTCCTGGTATATAATTGAATTTGATCCCATCCTCACTAAACGTTTTTTCTAGTGCTTCTTTAGTCTTAACCGAATTGAGCATTTGACGGAAATCCTTCATTTCGCTATCGGCACCATGAAAGTTTGAGCCATTGTCACAATTCATTTCAGCCACTTTTCCACGAACAGCTATAAATCTTCTTAAAGCGGCGATGTACTTCTCAGTGCGGGTATCGGTTACGACTTCAAGATGTACAGCCTTGGTAGCCATGCACACGAAGAGAGCTACATACGCCTTCGAGAACGTCTTGCATCTTTTTCCGTGATGTTGAAGGACGAAGAAAGGCCCTGCATAGTCACAACCTGAATTGATGAAAACCTTTGAAGGCCGACAGACTCTGGATGCAGGTAGATTTCCCATAAGTTGACCACAATTATCAGTTGGATTAACGTGAAAACATTTGACGCACTTACGGTAAACAGATGTTGCAACACGTTTGCCGTTGATAGGCCACCATTGACGACGTACGTGACTTAGTAGGAATGATGGGCCGGCATGGAGTAGAAATCTGTGTTGCGATTCAAACAAAAGTCTTGTGAAGCGGTGCATTGGTGGAAGAATAATTGGGTGCTTTCGTGAAAAAGGTAAATCGCTGTGCTCCAATCTACCACCCACTCTCAAAACTTGATTCTTGACATCGTAGAAAGGGTTACACGACAATAGTTTGCTGGATTTCGCGATGGTAAAACCTTTCTGTAAATACAAAGTCTCTTCTTCATATTCTTGCAGTTGGGCTTGCCGTGCGAAAAGAAGTTTAGCCGCGAACAGTTCACTGTATTTCAAGTATCGTTGCCAACGTAATTCTCGTGCTGCAATGTTCCTGACGTTGATGATGAATCTCTGGACGTATGCAAGAACTCTTACGGCTTTTTCTAAAGTGCTACAACACTTTAGAATGGCGACGATAATTGAATTTGATTTCGTTGCTATTAAGATCACTGGTTTCTGTTCTCCTTAAATTTGCTTCTCATCTTCGGATGTTAAGATTGGATCAGTTTTGATTTCATATTGTCGTATAAGAGTTGTCGTATCAGAGATTGTGGGCCATGCCACCATAATTCACTTTCCTTAAGTATTGAAGTTTCCACCCCTCTAGAGATAGATCGGCTGGGTTTTGGTCAGTAGGAACATGATGGATTTCTTCTTGCTTTAAGATGTTTCTGACTTTTGCAACGAACACCTTCCAGTGGAATGATTCCTTTCTGCACCAAAATCGTACTATTGTGGAATCGGTGAATGCTTTGATTGATGTGAGCGATAAATTTAATGTTTTCTTGATACTTTCCAGTAAATCACTCAGCATCAGGAATCCACAGAGTTCTAGTTTAGGTATTGACTGCGTCTTCAAGGGCGCTACCTTTGATTTGGATAAAATTAGACGTGAAGTGATGGTTTCATTTTCGTAAATTACAATTAAGTAGAGGCAAGCTCCATAAGCTTGACTCGAAGCATCAGAAAATCCGAACAGATGAAACTGTTTTGGGGTATCTGTGGTCACTATACACCTTGGCACTCGTATACAGGAGACTTCTTGCAGATTATGCTTGATATGCAACCATTTAACCATTAATGAGTTAGGTAATTGTTCATCCCAATCAACTTCTTCAGTCCAAAGTAACTGCATGAATAGCTTTGCTAAAATAACGATGGGTGACACGAATCCAAGGGGATCAAATAGCTTTGCAATGTCGGACAAGGTAGTTCTCTTCGTAACCTTTTCATTGAACGGTGTAGATTTGAAGTTGAAAGTATCCGAAGAGGGATGCCAAACAAGTCCTAAGGTTTTGACGGTGTCGGTTGTGTCTATCTTCAGTTCATCTTCAATGGCTCTGAGATGGTCAGGAATTGATTGCAAGACTTTACGACTGTTAGATGACCATTTACAAATATGAAAACCGGTAGATTGCAACATGTCTTGTAATTGGGTTCGTACACCGATAGCTTCGGATTCAGAGGAGGAACCGCTGAGGAAATCGTCCATGTAGAAAGAATTGACTGCAACCTTAGCAGCTAAAGGATACAAATCGGCATTCAACTAGATGGTTTCTTGAATACACCGTGTAGCAATGAAAGCCGCTGGAGTTGTACCATATGTTAGCATTTTTAGTTGATAAATTCTTATAGGTTCTGTAATGTTTGGACGGTAAACTATTCCTTGGAACAACTGATCTCTAGGATGCACGAGGATTTGTCGGTACATTTTTTCTATGTCTGCGTTGAGTGCAATAGGATGAGACCGAAATCGAAGTAGTATATTAACAAGTTCGTCTTGGATGCGAGGACCAGGAGGCATACAGTCGTTAAGTGATATATTTGTGCTGGTCTTGGATGATGCATTAAAAACAACACGAATCTTCTTCACGTCTGCACAGACTTTAAATACTGAATGATGGGGCATAATGTAACGAATGAGTTCCGGTGCTGGAGCTAGCATCATGTGACCAAGAGACAGATACTCTTGCATGAAGTCATGATATTGCTTTTTTAATTCGGGATTCTTGATGAATTTACGTTCAGTTGACAACCAGCTTGCTTCGGCTCTTTTCTTTGCAGTGTGGCCGACTGCCTTCCTCAATCAGCTGCTGAATAGAAAACTGGCATTCATCACTGTTCTCGTCAATGTATGTAAATATCACCTGCATTGCCTCGTCAACACTTGCCGATGGGCGAAATCCTCTTTTCTGCGCTGACTTAGGTGGATGGTAGAAATCTGCAAGGCACTTTTGGTGATACTCAGCTTTGACGGCGACTAAATCAGTGTTCAAATAGGCTAACTGCGTGATACGTTCTTCTACTTTTTTCCCCTTCTCGTCTCCACGCATCTTAGCCTTTTCGGTAATTGTTTTAGCCAGTCACTTTGATCGGAGCATTGCGCCTTTCCACTGGCAGCTTTGCCTGTTTAGCTCTAAAATCATCAGTTATAGATTCCTCACAAAAAAAACACGCATTGACGAAGTCGAATTTCGCAACTTGTGACCGCCGGATAGGTACAGGAGAAGGAGCTTCGGGTGTGTCATATCCACGACGTGCAAGGACAGCAATCAATTTCTCATTGTTATACCTTGTTTGGCAAGCACTGTGCACTCTCACCTCACTCAACCCACGTAGAAACTGTTCATTTTCCGAAAGTTTCCTTTTTACACTTGACTCCAACAGTCTTGCAACTCCTCTGGCTTTCACTACAGTTAGTTCATCAGCTTCTCCGGCTTTACAAATAAAACATAACTCTGATCCACTTGGTGTGCACGCCATATTAAAAATGTAATCTATTTTACGCAATTACTAGAATCAGCAACTATTCTCACAAAATAAATCTCACTTATTTAGCAAACGACTGGGACAAAACTTAACTACACATAAGACATATAAAAACAAATAAAAACAAAACAATGCCATTTTACCTCAAACATATGGTATTTAACAATCTCGATAACGTGGTTAGCAGACAGCTTACCGGCTAAAAGTAACCAAAATATTACAGTTGTTTGGTACAGTTATTCGAAAACAATATTTTAAATGAATCAGCTGGTTCAGACAATATATACTTTCTGCATTTGATGTTTGGGTGGGTAATTTGGTGGAGTAAGTGGGGTATGGGGGTATCCAGAGATGGTGCTTGTAACCAGGAACCGTAATTACAACATTTTGTGATATATTGTGAGTAATAGAAAAAAATTAGATGAAATTCTGCATTTTTTGTATTTTACGTTGAATTTTTCTAAAATTACTTTTTTTTGAAATGCGATATCTCGGTAAAAAATCAACGTAGAAACATTTTTGAACAGTCAAATTGTAGGGAATTTAACGCTCTTCAAAAAAGTAATGCTAGCTTTTTTTGTAGGAAGTAAGGGAAAAAAGTTATTGAGCAAAAAGCGGAAAATTGTCGAAAATTTTAAAGTTTTTTCCCCTCCCCTCTTTTTGCACAGGGTCCACGAGGTCCAAAACTTGGGAAAATGTTGGTTAAACATCCCTGAACAACATCCCCAAGTTTCATTAACTTCCGACCTTTTTCCACCTAACCCCACTTTTTCCGATATATCGACTGGACTAAACATATTAGAACAAGATTAATTGTGCACAATTATTTTTTGAGTTTTTAAACTAAAAAAATTTCATTTTATTCAGCAAGCTGCAGTTGGCGTTATTAAGAACATCCTGTTCCTAATAACGCCAACTGCGATATTTCTTAAAAGAGGACAAAATATATAGGGTAAACATTTATTGAAATTTAACTAACGTTCAAAATCAATACAAACATATGAAAATTTGTCTTTTTTGGGTAATCCTACACATTCCTCGTGTACGTAACGGTTGCAAAAGACAAAGGCGCATATCGCGGATCCGGTCTTTTTGGCAAACAAAACAATACCAAACTCTCTTTAGCTGCAGGTTTTTTCTTTTTCTTCCGATTTACTTGGTTGGAAGACCCAGAACACTCTTTAATTGCAGATTGGCTCCTAATCACGCCAGTAGAAGATTGTTGGCGTTATTAGGCGCCACTTAACCTAAAATCTGCATTACTGATTTTACAAAAATGTTTTTGTTTTAATTGGAACTATTAACTAGATATAACATAAACTTAGCAAACACCACGCGGGTATGAACAAATCTAATTATCAGAGGGTTTGAACATCAAATATCTTGCATCAAAGATGCAATGATGAATGATGGGTATTGCCGCCAAAATCAAGCATCTCATGTGGTGACACTTGTTTCATCTATAAAGAAGATTTTAATGGCTGACTGTCTTCTTGGGTATGAACCTACAATGCCACACTGGCAATTTTTTGTATTGCTTACGTGGTTTTCCAAAAGAGAACGTCTGGCGTTATTAGGAACATGGCGTTATTTGGCTAACATACCTTATAAGTAATTTTAGGTAAATGAATCTTTTGCAAAAAGCAGCACATTTATTCAAAAAGGTGGGAGAACAAATTTTGAACAATATTTCGGATGGAAATCCAAAAAAAACTGCTCCGATGTTGCAGTAAATCCAGCGGGATTTACTCGAAGCGTTTACGATACAGAGGAAGCGAGCAGCGTTCGAATGCGATATCGGTACCTTGTAGGAGTATGAATGAATACAACTCATATGTGTCCGCGGAGTTCGTCTAAAACCCAATAACCTTTATTAGGATGAAGGCTGTCCGCTGTCAATCATCCGCCAGCAGCGCTTGATCGTGGGAGCGCGCCTTGCGCGCTTCCTTTATGCGATCGCCGTAATTTTGTGTACATTACGTACATTGGTAAAAAGCGAGATCGTGGAAGTACGCTACTTGTAGCGAGCTTCTTTATATGCGATCACATTTGAAACTGATTAGAACCTACGAATTTTTTTAATCCGTGGACCGCGAAATTTTTAAACGTAAAGCCGGCTACACACGATCCGGCAGACCTGTCAGTTCGAACTGAACAGTCCGCCTGGAGTCCGGTCGCCTGAGCGTGTATATATTCCGGTCAACTTATCAGTTAAGACTGTTCAGGCGGCCGGAGAAAGATCAAATATATGTTCGTTATCCGTCCGGCCTGACGTACTCAAAGACAAGCCTGAACGTGTGTATGGCACGGCCGCCTGTTGAGACGTCAGGCTGTCAAGTGAAACAGTTCAGTAGTACAGAACCAGAGTACAGAAGTCGTTATCATGTCGCGAGCAAGAGAAAACACGTGTTTAGAAGAATTTATCGCGATTTATCGCAATGAGTCGTGTCTATGGCAAGTAAAATCGAAAGACTATCACGACCGTGGCAAGAAAGAAGCGGCGTATTTAAAATTAATAGAAAAATTGAAGGAAATTGATCCTTCTTGTACGAAGTCTACTGTTTTAAAAAAAATTAATAATTTGAGGAGTAGTTTTCGAAAACAAGCAAAAAAAGTGAAGGATTCAATGAGGACGGGCTCAGGGGCCGATGAAGTTTACCATCCCAAACTTTGGTATTATGATTTGTTGAACTTTGTGGAAGACCAAGAAGTCTCTCGAAACTCTCGAAGCAATATCTCGGATGACGAAGAAAGCGAAAATGAGGTAAGTGACAGAAACATTCAGTAGTTTTGTTTGTTTATTTATTGAATAAACACACATTTTTTTGTGTATATTTCTAGGGTGGTTTAAATTGGACGCTCTTTTATGGGAACACTCTTTATTTGAAGAGATAGGAACAAATGTACCACAGTGCCTGAGGGGCAAACAGGGGTGTTCCCATAAGAGAGCGACCAATTTGGACCACCCTATAAAATAGTATTATTAGTAGGTAAGTTTTTATTGGATGAATCTATCTTGCCAAGAAACTCTACCCTCATTCGTAAAATAACTCATAAAGGCCTCCCTAACTTCTTTTGCTGCATTCGTTGTATTTCCAAATGGTCTTCGTTGCAAGCTAGCCATATTAGAACCTTGTGAATTCGATCCAAAATGTGTCACACCTTCTTCCGTATCATCATAGTCTAAGCACTCTGGAGGAATATATGTTGTTGATGACTTAACTATCAAAAAGTTATGTAACATGCAGCATGCCATTACAACGGATTCAATATTTCGCGGTTCTAAATTAATGCAAGTGTGAAATATCCGAAATCTGGCAGCCAATATTCCGAATACATTTTCCACAATACGTCTAGCTCGTGATAAACGGTAGTTGTAAATTTTTTTCTCCCTAGAAGTCAAGGCTGCCTGTCGAAAAGGTTTCATTAGGTCTACCCTCAATGGAAATGCATCATCTCCTATGAATACATATGGTAGGCTTCTGTCGGTATTCCGGATAGTTTCTTCTCCAGGAATATTCAGGAGATTATTTTGTAGTTTTTCAAAAAATTTGGTATTTTGTAATACACCACCATCAGACACCCTGCCATTTGTTCCGAAATCGCACATTAAAATACGATAGTTTGCATCAACTAAGGCTAATAGCACCATGCTATTAAAACCTTTATAATTATAATAGTACGATCCGCTTCCAGATGGGGGGATGATGCTCACATGCTTGCCGTCAATGGCCCCAAGGCAATGGGGAAAGTTCCAGAGTTCCTGAAATCTCTGAGAAATGTTTCTCCAGTCTTGTTCTAGTCGTGGAAACTGAAAAAAAGACAATATTATGCATTATGCATGATAAAAATATGCATGAAGAATGTCTGGCGATAAATTGTGTATTTTTTTCATTTTTTTTTCATGCTTTCAATTTATGAAATACGATTAAGTAATACAGTTATAAAAACCATAGATATTTCCACACACAAAAAAAAACTAACCAAACTGTTCAAAAAATCTTTTGTTACAGGATAAATCACAGGCCGAAACTTTAAACACAAATGCACACAGCTCTCAAATTGAACCTGAAACCCAAGATTCTACTGAAAAAACTTCAAGTGTGGCTTCAGGTTCGCAGTTTCGCCATAGACCGACACCAAAATCTCAAAAAGCAGATGACCAAACACAGTTAACAAAAGAAGTACTAGCAACCGTCAACAACCACTTCAAACGGCCACGCACAGCGGATGACCGGTTTGACATTTTTGGTAAAAACGTTGCTATGAAACTCAGAGATTTAACCAACGATCAGAGACGCCTTGCAGAGAAATTTATTAATGACGTACTTTTTGAAGCTGAGGGTGGAACATTAACACCACATCATAAACTGGCTTATCAGCCACCTTTGTCTAATCGTTATCATTCGTCCAGTACCTATTCTAGCCGGCCAAGCTTTCAACTCTCCGCAACACCAGCACCACCGCAGCAGTTGCTACTACTAAACTCCCCTTCGTCAAATGAATATTATTCGAATCATTCATCTAGTTCCAATCCTAGCCGCCCAAGTTCTCAATTATCCGCAATATCACCAACACCACCATCGCAGCAGTTGCTACTCCAGAACTCCGAAGCTTCAATTGAACACCACTCCCAGAATAACATGTTTTTTTCCCAGTCAGAAAGTGTTCAAGAAATGGAACCGTCGGCATCATCTCGCCAGTACCAGACCGCTAGTTCTCTTTTAGCTTCATTCACTTATGCTGATAACAACTGATAACTGAACTTGTTTTTGTATTTTCTATGGAAGAAATATAATGTTTTTGTTTATATGCTTAATGTTCAAGAAATTTATAATGTTTTTGTTTATATGTATGTTTAATATTAAAAAAAAATTGTTCTTACCTTCATAAAATCCTTGTGTAGAACTTCCCATATTGCTTCACAAGTTTCAGGAATAATGTAACTCAGAGCTTGAGGTGATATAATAGTGGAAAACTTGAGGTCCTCATAGGTTCTTCCAGTAGCTAGAAACCTCAAAGTTGCCGTCAGCCTTTCGTGTGCTGGGATTGCTTCTCTCATTACATTGTCTTTTCTTTTTATCAAAGGTGCTACCAATGATAAAAGTTGCAGATACGTATCTTCATCCATGCGTAGATAATTGTGCCAATCCTTGGGAGCTAACTTCAGGTCATTCAGCAAATTCACATGAGAAAAAACGCTCCTTTTTTTCAACCAATCTTTACACCATACCGTACGTTTTTTTGGATTTCTTTTTACCCAAAGCAACTACTAAGCCGAGGAGTGCTAACGCGTCGTCGTCAGTAGAGGCCATGATTGAGACTGATATTTCATATTCGCCTGAACGTGTGGAAGGTGGCCAGTCCATCAGGCGACCGGTCTTCAGGCGGACTGTTCAGTTCGAACTGACAGGCCTGCCGGATCGTGTGTAGCCGGCTTAATACGCGGTCTTGCTTCAAGTGCGCTTATGCAATTATACATTCGGTCTCTTGCATTTTGGGTTGCATAACCTCATGTATAACAATATGCGTACCTATTTTTTTACGCCAATGTAGACACCATTTCGTTTAGTCCATGATTCCTGAACACACCACCACCACCAAGAAGAGTTTACGTGTGGACTATCTCCTGCAATTTGGCCTGCATAGCGTAACAGATTACGCTATAAGTATTTTTTCTATCTCAATGTTTTCACACAGACATCTTTTTTCTTGCCCATGATTCATGACTACACCACCACCACCAAGTAAAAAAAGAAGAGTGTATGTGTATTTGCTATTTATTACTTAAATCTATATATACAAAAAACCTATTTACTATTTATTACCTACATAAATCTATATACAGGGTGTCCCTAAAAGGTCTGTACAACGCGCTACCAGGGGTTCTTGGTATCAAAATAGGACGATTTAACCCAACTTACCTCTATCCAAAAGTGCTTCGGTAAGGCGCTATCTACCGCAAAAGATTTGCTTGGGAGCACCATGTCCCCTACCTATCCACTTATTGGGGTATTCCTGATGTAGAAAGTTTCGGACGGCTACAGTAAAATGAGGAGGGGCACCATCATGCATGAACCACATGTTTCCGCGTAGCTCCAAAGGTACGTCGTCCAATAAATCTGGCACAGTATTTTGAATATGTTGCAAGTAACTATCGCCATTTAATCGTCTAGGTAAAATTACAGGACGAACAATAAAAGTATCAACGATTCCTGCCCAAACATTAATCTTGAATTCGTGTTGAGAATGGGTAACTTTACATGCATGCGGATTCTCATCTGCATACACATGTTCATTATGTAGGTTTGTTATGCCCCTTCTTGTAGAGCAAGCTTCATCGGTAAATAAAATGTTTCGGCAAAAATTCTGATTTCGAACTATTCGTTCATTAATATTAGTACAGAAACGTCCACGTCCGTAATCAGCCATCACAGGAGCAAAGCGACCGGTCTCACGGAGACATCTCTCAACAGCCGCAAACGTTTGATGGTTTGGTACACGACGATTTGGAAACCTGTGAGTATACTCTAACGCATTGGCGACCATTTCCACGACAGTATCCAAACACTAATAGCATATCAGTTAACTCTGCGTTACTGTATTGAAAGGCCATATTACAATTTTAACAATGAAATTATAAGTCTTCAAGCAAAACGTAAATTGTTAAAGTTTAAGAAACAACAAACAAACGTTACGCCACTCTAAGGTTTCACAGCCATCGCATGTATGGTGCATGCCATTCATCATGCCTAATTTTTTTTTTTGTAAACCATCACAGATAGCGATATTCATCGAGAGACAAAAAATGCTTGCAAGTAAACTGTCTATCAGTGTCTAAAAATTCAGAACTGTCAAAATAGTAGTTAAAAAGTTTTAGACCTCTTCAGATGTGGATGGTCAGTATTTTACCACCTACATACTACAATCAAAACGATGATATCACAAAGACCCTTTTTACATTAGACATTCACATCCCGAATTTCATTTTAATCGGCAAAACCATTTT